ACCTGAAAGCCGAAATGGAAATATCTGGGGTAATTATTTATCACCATCACATACCATATAGCGCGCACTAAACCAAGTAAGAATTTATGGGCGAAAGCCAAGGAAAACCCGTAGCTGAAAAAAAAAAAAAAATAAAAAGAACGACTAGACTTCGCCAAAGATTACCTGAAAAAACCAAAATCATTCTGGAAAATGTTCTGTGGACAGACGAAAATATAGAGTTTTTACGCAATGCACACCAACAATATGTTTATAGACGGCAAAATGAAGTTTATAAGGAAAAGAACACCTTACAAACAGTTAAGAATCCATAATGTGGCGCTGTTTTGCCTCATATTGAAGGCCTTGACCGTATCACAGGAACTATGAAATAAAAGGATTACCAAGAGATTGTTGATCAAAATATGCTACCCAGTATTAAGAAAATTGATATTAAGCTCATGGATTCTCCAGACGATAACGACCCAAGGCGCACATCCAAAAAACACTGGGTAATGGTTGTAAAGAAAAATATGGAGTGATTTAAACTGTCCCAGGAATGAGTCCTGATCTTGTTCCCTTTGAAAATCTATCGAGTCAGCTGAAATCTGCCATTGGGGAAAGGAGTCCTGAAAATGTTAATGAGCTCAAACAAATTGCAATGGAAGCGTGGGAGAAAGTACCAGCTGATAAATGCCAGAAGAATATTGATGGTTACCAGAAACGTTTAAAGAGTGGTACCTTTATTACTGTCCATGTCATTTTTTTTTATTTCTTCTTCGAAATTACAACATATAAGCTGCAAAAAATATTTTGATTAAATTACTTTGGACAACCAATTAAAAACATGTTGATATAGATTCGGCTATTTTGCACTTTTTTCTGAAGATATAGATAAATATATGAAAGGGTGACCAGGGCTTCTTATATGCATTTTCCTCCTGTAGCCTTGCATAACCAGTTGCACTCATTAAACGGGGTAAGCTGTTTTTTAAATATCATTTTCAGGTTGACTCTTCAGACGGAAGGATGATTACGACTTATAAATTCGTTATCTTATACTGTGAAAAAAGTCTCTAATATTTGACATCTTCCATTCTGAATTAATATTTAATAGCATTCTCATAAACTCCGAAAGAAAAATCAGTTTGACAACAGTAAAATAATTTTGTTTTCTATCAAGAGAAATTTCGTGAATTCAGTCTTCAGTGCTGTGAATTTTCTAGAAAATTGTAGAACACTATGAAGTAATTGAAAAGTGATTGTTTTCTTCAATTATTTCATGCATTAATAATTATCAAAACAAATTACAGACAAAAGCTGAAAGCAAGTGACTGGACAACATCTATAAAACTGTAATTTACTGTCTTTATTGTTCAACCTTATAATCATCTTCATTTATAATCATCTTCACCTTCAGGATTAAAGATAAAACTGTTCTTAACAGCTTTGGAAAATATTAATTCAGACAAAATGTTATGCTTATCAGATATCTAATATATGAAAATATGATTTTAAAACTACCTATTAGAAGTTTACATTTGTTTATATTGATGTTTTCTGAAACTTTATAAAATATTTCATAATTAAAAATCCTTTCTGTCATATATGCTGTTTTAAATGGAGAATGTATTGATATTTGGACGAACAGGTTGAGATTGCAACAATGGCTTATGCTGATCAATAAAAGATTCTAGGGACTTATAACGTACCGAAGAATGCTAGGACAACAAACTAGTTTACGACCATAAAATTCTTAGCCATTTTGAATTAACTGATTCGATATAAAAATACGAAAAATATGAATGTGGAGCAATGAAGTAACAGGTATTCAGATTAAGTAAAATAAAAGTAACTGCATTGGGAAAAAGAAACAAAACAAAGCAAAAAACAAATTACATGATAACTGAAAATTAAAGATTGCTTCTTTTGCATTGTCTGTTCGTAACTTTGGGTGTATGCGTAGTGTAATAGTTATCGACGTGGAACGTAAAATTGGGGACCGAGGTTAAATTTCTTTCTAGTCACTTTTTGTAGTAATACCGTTAAGAAAGAATGGATCCATCTTTTCACACCTAGTTATGGGTTAAATATCATGGTAGACTGAGCGTTTTAGACAGGGTGAAAACCAGTCGGGGTAAAAGAAAATGTTGAATTGCAAATCGTGGAGATAAAAACGGGAAACAAACCCCACTCTCTTTCCCAAGAAGTCATAGTTATTCACGGACAATAAAAAAATGGAATATGTAGTGATTACCCAAATCATAAAGGGATATGGCATTTAATAAGTCCTAACTGAATTTGTTTTTTAAATAAGTTGATTTTTATAAAGTATAGTGACAAAACATTTAGCATAGTGACGAAATGAGCGAAAATAAGAATATTTAAAAGTAGTTTCATTCTGAATGGGTTTTTGTAGTATGAATAAAAATTAAAATAAGGGATACCGAAAAATGAGTATGAGATATGGGTAAACGCTAAAAGATAATGATAAAGAGTAAAAGAAGGAGGAAGAAGTTTAATAAAGTTGAAAAAAAGGTAATAAAAAAGAGAATGAGGAGTATTAAAACATAATGAGATACAGTAACACACACACAGAGAAAATAAAATAAAAATATGATTTAACGTGGAAAGGCAGTAATAGATAGATAGATAGATAGATAGATAGATAGATAGATAGATAGATAGCGAGAGAGATTGAGAGAGATTTTTCAAATTGCACTAAGGTTAAAAATTCAGTGCTGTTTGAAAAAAAAATCAAATATAGACTACTGAAAATGAGAAAGATGTAAGCAGGGATATCAAATGGAAAATCATTCACTAGAATGAATTACAAAAGTCCAGAGAAAACAATTCTAGTGTTTGGCGCATAGCAATAGAATTTTCATGTATTTATTTGTATATCATAGTATTTTATATTTATTTTGCCATCGCAGTTAAGCAAGTTACTCAGAGAATTTGAAGAGGAGTTGCATTATTTTATTTTATGCATGGCAGACCCATTAACTTCGGAATGTTTTATATTCATGTCTTCAAGACGGCATTCGTCACAGAACAGCAATGAGCCATCTTTGGTATTGTGTTAAAGGAGATAGCTACAAAACATTTGCAGCTATAACGTTATATACATCTACGAATACTAAAGGATAGGAATGTGAAAAGAATGTAACCATGCATAACGCTCACGATCACACACAGACACATATATATATATATAAATCATCTTTCCGATTTATACAGTTTATAACAATGAAGTGTAATGAAGTGGATTTGTCGATTAAAAGATAGCACGAACTTTTATTTACGTCACTATGTTGTCAATTACTCTCAGTCAGTCTACGATATGCGACCCCATGTCCTCGTCCTCGTCCGACACGCAAACCAGACCAGATATGAGGTCATGCACTCCTCCATTCGACGGCTGATACTGAATCCAGTTCTGCATCTTGATTCACTCGGCTGGTGTGAATTGTGTGCAATATCAATTCCGTCATCATTCTACAATCAGTAAAGAATTCTATATGCACTACCTAGACAGAAGGATGCATATATACGTAAATGTTTAGAATGTTACAGAAAAATATGTCCATTTCGAGCTAAACATTTGAAGGTGCCCATGTATTTTCTAATTCAATCATCTACAATATTGTTTTACTACTTATATAAAAAATACACTCGATTCCCTCACGTGTTTCCCGTTTGTTATTTCCTAGCGTGAATCAAATACTACATATATTGTTTGATAGTAAATGTGACAAGGCGATAGTTGTCAGTGTCTTTTGTTAATAGACTGAAATTTTTTGCTACTTTTCTTTCATAGTGGCTAAATAACTGTTCTAATCCTTTGTGGAATTTCACCGGCATTACTTTTTTCCCAGTACTTTTCCATCTTCGCGTGGCACTTTTCTGCAGAATAATGTTTGCACTTTAAAGACAGAATATATGTTGAATATTAGATTATGCAAACAATACACACAGAAAGGGAACTACTTATATGCACCAACTTCAAAATATACAGATGAAGAAATTGCAAGATTTTATGACCACAATAGTAAAGTTATGAACCTTTGCACTATTTTGATGGGCGACTTCAATGGAAAAGTAGGGAAATAAACGATGGAAAATCTAAAATGGGGAATAAAAAGATGAATTTAAGAGATAAAATATTAGTTAATATATCTAAAAAAACAAAATTACAATTATGAATGAAAATCTCCAAAAGCTTAGGGGTCGTAAATATACTTGAAAAAAAAAAAAAAAAACAAACAAAAAAAAAAAGGAAAAAAAAGGGATAATATAGATGAAACCAACTTCATAATTACTGAAAAAGTCAAAACCGTTAAAAAGGTAACTGTCATAAACAAAGTTAATATAGGAAGCGATTATAGCTTGTAAATTTTAAAATTGAAAGTACAAGGGTTCTCAAAAAGAATACATATTCTAATAATATAATCGAAAACATCATTATATTGTAGGTAGAAATCAAGAACATATTCTAATTTTGTTGTAGGTGAAAATAACATAGAAGGCAGGAATAGCAAACAGAGAAGTATACTTATTGATGGAATATAGACAAGACGGAAGAAAAACGGAAATATCAATAATACAGAGAAATTATTAGAGTAAACACTAGAATTGATGGAAAAGAGGAGAAATATGGATATAAAAACTAAGTGAGTGAAATTGGAATAGGCAGAATTAAAAACAATAAACTAAATAATGAGAAGAGAGTTTGATTGTTTGATTTTACAGCTTTTCTATTTCCTGGATTTAAGTAACCATTGCAGGTTATTTAAAGCCGGAAAATAATTTTGGGCTGTAAGAAATTTTTGGAGATAATAATGATTTACTGATAAAAGTCCTACTATTTAACTATAGCTGGTGGGGACGAGGTGGATTCAGACCTTTCCCAAGAGTCTTTGCGCGTAAGTGAATATAAGGAACCAGGCGAGAAATGGGAATACGTCTTTGTAACTTTCAAATTCCAAGCCATTATCCATTATCCGATCTGCGCATCCAAGCTTACAGCACCTGGTATTCCTAAGCGATCACCCATCTAGGTACTGACTAAGTTTGACGTTGCTTAACGTCGATGATCATACAAGAACCGGTATTTCAACTTCATATGGTCATAAGCCTAATGAGAGGAGAGAAAAACAGGTTGAATATATGAGCTATGAGATAACAGAAGAGTTTGAAATGCAGTTGCAAATGTTGTGACAAGATTTGGATATTTCTCTGTATATATATATATATATATATATATATATATATATATATATCGCACGTGAATGTATCGATAAACCAATCTGTCTTACTAGTATACATTTATGTTTATACATGTTGTTACTTATGAATTTTTTCTTTGGTTTTTTGTTTTCTTCTTCTTCTGGGTGTGTGCAGAAATGATCTCTATCTAGCATACTTGTCTACTCATGTCTTTAGATGAATTGAGATTGGTTAAAGGATCGGTTTACCAAATATTCTTCTAAGGAAATACTCCTATTCTTTTTCCTACTGTTAATCATATAGAAACAATATTTCTTTTTCTCTTTCGCCATTCCTTCGTCGTTCTCTCTCAAAGAGCTAATTGCGCATGCATTTTAAGTCTGCCAACAGTCGAAACGCACACAAAAGTACATCGACATAAACAGATTCACACACGTGTATTCGTAAAAATAAAAATAAGCAACAAAAACACAAAACAAAACAAAAAAACACGCGTATGCATTTTAAAGATAGAAATGCATGTGTAAGTTCGCAGCAAGAAATCGACGAGAATGGCGGAATCTTTCATCAGCACCATTAACAAAAAGCATTGACCTTTGCAACTTTACATTTGCTTTTTGTCAGTATCACAACCAAAATAATAATGAAACGTAGAAACAACAATAACAACAATAATAAAAAGGAAATAACAGTATAAACTGCAACAACAATTTTGTTTGTACACTGCCATATTAGGCTCCTTTCAGATATTGCTTGATTGGTTCTAAGTGCAATGTAAGCTACACGTCCATGCACGAATAGATATGTGCCTATGTGTACAATTTTTAAGTAATTTAAGGATTTTGTTAATCCGATAATATCTCTTATTATAAACCTTATATTTAATGGGTTTGAGCAGTCATCACTGTATTTATAAACAGTTAAATTAATACCTACTAACCAAGAGACCGAAAGTCGCAATAAAGAGAATGTGCTTCCAACAGGATTGGAAAATGTGTTCTATTTTTAATCTGGGAAACTGTTTTCAAGCCAAGCATAGGTTTACCATGAAGCTACAAGAAGCTATACGGTAAAGTAATTACTCTATCTAAGAAAAAAACAAAAAACCCCCCAAAAAACCAAAAAAAAAAAACAAAAACAGGAGTGTCTATTCAAGCATATGTGTGTACCAACTAAATATAATCTTTATAATAACACACACATACATATATATCGTACAAGTCGTCTGAAGACGTTATAGGCATTCAAGTCATCTGAAAATCGCGTGAGCATGAATCTTGGGTTACGACTGGGGTCATCCTTTTATAGGAATTAACGTTGTTATAAGTTGTTTGCTCTGTCTGGGTAATCTATGTTTGAGCACTTTACAAAGTAGACAGGTTTGCCGTTTTTCTTTTTCTTTTTCAGTATTGTCGTTTTTGTTCGAGATTTTATCTGAATAAGTTGTTTTAGGTTTTAGCAAGTTTTTTTTTTAATAATAATAATAATAATAATGATGATAATATATATATATATATATATATATATATATATAGTGTTAATTTGGAAGAAGTGATGTTCTTGAGTTTTTTACGTAAATTAGTATTTAAAATATTTTAGTCTGAGATTAATTTAATCATACACAGAAATAAGCACTACCACAACTTTCATCTAAAGAATGTCACTCTCTTTGAATTAAAAAAGGAATTTACTTAGAAGGAAAATTCTCGAAATTCTATTGAATCATATCAAAATATAATATATAAATCTGCGCCCTGGATTTTTTCAAATATCTCCATTCCTGAAATTTATTACTTTCTCAAGCCAAGATACATCGCTAAAAATGTTAAAAATTTAAAAGAAAAAGGTTAAATTCATAACCTGTTATTCAAAATATACAGCACATAAATTAATCTCAAACTAAAATATCCTTGGGAAAGGTATGACTGAATCTCCCCACTCCCTAGCTATGCTTAAATTTCTGAAAAATTCTGACATTTTAAAAATATTCCATGGCTTTAAATAACCTGCAATAGGTTGATAAGCAAATCAAACAATCAATTAGTCTATGTCTGATGTTCCTGCTCTACGATAATGGTAGCACGCTCGTCTCTGCTACTTTATTAAAAATGGTCAGTGTGGTCCACATTTTTTATATTGTGCAAGAAATCATACGCAAAATGGAAAATCATCAGAATCTTACTCCTCTTTGTCAGAAGTTTGATGCAGGTAATTTTCTATTTTTTTAAATCATGTTCACACAAAAGTTTAACTAGTCGTATCATAATTACAGTTTAATATATATTTTTTATTCATACTGCAACGAATTCAGATGAATATGTCAATATGTGTCACGGAGACGTACTCTCAAATGAAATCCCAATATATAGGTATTCTACCCATATATATATTCACATAAAATCCCAATATATAAATATTCTATCCATATATATTTTCACATGATATCCCAATATATAGGTACACTACCCATATATGTTTTCACATGAAAACCCAATATATAAGAATTCTATCCATATATATTTTCACATGAAATCCCAATATATCGGTATTCTATACATATATGTGAAAAAATGAGTGTATATAAATATAAATAAATATATATATATATATATATATATATATATATATATATATATATATATATATATATATATATATATACATGATTATTTATATATTATATGCGCGGTACTTATTAGAAAGCGCTCAATATCAGAGATAGAGCTAACATATTTGGTTGGACTGAAATCCAAATATATAGGTATTCTACCCATATATATTTTCACATGAAATCCCAGTATATAGGTATTCTACCCATATATATTTTCACATGAAATCCCAATATATAAGAATTCTATCCATATATATTTACAGATTAATATTTATTTTTTATTCAGAGAAATGATAAATTTTTTCTGGCCACAGTACTCTAATCTCCAATTAAACTTAGTTGTGAAAAATGATTCCAATTTTGTACATTTTAAAGTTTGTAAATTCTGCTACATCTGCGCCGTATAAATATTAGCTAAAGTCGACTGCAACGAATTTAGATGAATATGTCGATCTGTGTCACCGAGACGTACTTTCACATGAAATCCCAATATATAGGTATTCTAACCATATATATTTTCACATGAAATCCCAATATATAGGTATTCTACCCATATATATATTCACATAAAATCCCAATATATAGGTATACTACCCATATATTTTCCCATGAAATCCCAATATATGGGTATTCTACCCATCCCAGTATATAAGAATTATATCCATATATATATTCACATGAAATCCCAATGTATAGGTATTCTTCCCATATATATTTTCACATGAAATCCCAATATATAGGTATTCTATACATATATATTGTCACATGAAATCCCAATATATAAGTAATCTATCCATATATATTTTCATATGAAATCCCAATATATAGGCATTATACCCATATATATTTTCATATGAAATCACAATATATTGGTATCCTAACCATATATATTTTCACATGAAATCCCATTATATAGGTATTCTCCTCATATATTTCTTCACATGAAATCCAAATATATAGGTATTCTCCCCATATATATTTTCATATGAAATCCCAATATATATGTATTCTACCCATACTTATTTTCACATGAAATCCCAGTATATAAATATACTATCCATATATATATTCACATGAAATACCAATGTATAAGTATTCTATCCATATTTTCACATGAAATCCCAATATATAGGCACACTACCCATATATGTTTTCACATGAAAACCCAATATAAAAGTATTATATCCATATATATATTCACATGAAATCCCAATACATAAGTAATCTATCCATATATATTTTCACACGAAATCCCAATATTTAGGTATTCTATCCATATGTATTTTCACATGAAATCCCAATATAGAGTTATTCTACCCATATATATTTTCACATGAAATACTAACATATAGGTATTCTACCTATCGCAATATATATGTATTCTATCCATACATATGTTCACATGAAATCCCAATATATAGGCATTCTACCCATATATATTTTCACATGATATCCCAATATATAGGTATTCTACCCATATGTATTTTCACATGAAATCCCAATATATATGTATTCTACCGATAAATATTTTCACATGAAATCCCAATATATAGGTATTCACCCATATATATTTTCACATGAAATTCCAGTATATAGATGTTGTTACACATGTTTCCAATTTTGTTCATTTTAATGTTTGTAAAATCTGCAACATCTGCGCCGTATAGATATTAGCTAAAGTCGACTGCAACGAATTTAGATGAATATGTCAATATGAGACACCGAGGCGTAATTTCCCATGAAATCCCAGTATATAAGTATTCTTACCATATATATTTTCATATGAAATTCCAATATATAAGTATACTATCCATATATATATTCACATGAAATCCAATGTGTAGGTATTCTACCTATATATATTTTCACATGACATTTCAATATATAAGTATTCTATCCATATATATTTTCACATGAAATCCTAATACATACGTATTCTACAAATGCATATTTTCACATGAAATCCCAATATATATATGTATTCTAACAATATATATTTTCACATCAAATCCCAATATATAGGCATTCTACCCATATATATTTTCACATGAAATCCCAATACATATGTATTGTATACATATATATTTCCACATGAAATCACAATATATAGGTATTCTATCCATATATATTTTCACATGAAATCCCAATATATGTGTAGAATACCCATATATTGGGATTTCACGTGAAGAAAATTGAATAAAAATTGGAAGTATTGATTCAAAAAGAATTCTTCAAACTAAATAATGTTTTCATTGATGGTTTCATACATAAGCAGGAGTAGAAAATTTGAAGAC